TTTTCTCGTTTTCATTTCATTCATTTGACTTCAATCACTGATACCCTTTCTTCACTGATTGAATTGGCTACTGAAGCTTGTGCATGTGTCATGTAGTTCCGTGTCATGGTTTCAGCTCCATCAGGTCATTTAAGGTCTTCCTTATGCTGTTTATTCTAGTTAGCCATTCATCTAATCTTTTTCAAGGTTTTTGCATCTTTGCGATGGTTCGAACATCCTCCTTTAGCTCAGAGTGTTTTATTATTACATCGTCTGAGCCTTCTTCTTCAACTCGTCAAAGTCATTCTCCGTCAGGCTTTGTCCTATTTGCTAGCGAGGAACTGCTTCTTTGGAGGAGAAGAGGTGCTCTGATTTTTTAGAATTTTTCAGCTTTTTGCTCTGGTTTTCTCCCCATCTTTGTGGTTTTATCTACCTTTGGTCTTTGATGACGGTATGTACAGATGGGATTTTGGTGTGGATGTCCTTTCTGTTTGTTGTTTTTCCCTTCTAACAGTCAGGACCCTCAGCAGCTGCAGGTCTGTTGGAGTTTGCTGGAGGTCCACTCCAGATCCTGTTTGCCTGGGTATCACCAGCAGAGGCTGCAGAACAGCAGAATGGCAAATGTTGCTGCCTGATCCTTCCTCTGGAAGCTTCGTTTCAGAGGGGCACCCAGCTGTATGAGGTGTCAGTCAGCCCCTACTGGGAGGTGTCTCCCAGTTAGGCTACTTGGAGGTCAGGGACCCACTCGAGGAGGTAGTCTGTCCATTCTCAGATCTCAAACTCCATGCTGGGAGAACCACTACTCTCTTCAAAACTCAGTTGGAAATGCAGAAATCACCCATCTTCTGCATCACTCATGCTGGGAGCTGTAGACTGGAGCTGTTCCTATTTAGCCATCTTGGAACCTCCCTCCCTGAAATATGATTTCTATAAAACTTGTCCAAATAACAACAGCTCCCCTCAGCCAGTGGTTCCCAAGTCTATCAGCATATTACAATTCTCTGGAGATGTTTGAAAAATCCCAAAGCCCAGGCCCCAACCCAGCCCAATTAAATAACAACCTCAGGCTGGGTGGGGTGGCTTATGCCTATAATCTCAGCACTGTGGGAGGCCAATGTGGGAGGACTGCTTGAGCCCAGGAGTTTGAGACCAACCTGGTCAATGTGGTGAGACCCTGTCTCTACAAAATATTAAGAAATTAGCCAGGCATGATGGCATGTGCACCTGTGGTCCCACCTCCTGTGGGAGGCTGATATAGGAGGCTCACTTAAGCCTGGGAAGTGGAGGCTGCAGATAGCTGCAATCAAGTCACTGCACTCTAACCTAGGTGGCACAGTGAGACCCTCTCTCTAATAATAATAATGATAATAATAATAAATACCAATCTCAGGGGAGGAGGAACAAGCATTGGTAATTTTTGAAGCTCCCCCAGGGAATTGTAATGTGTAGATAAGTTTGAGAACCACTATCTTTGGTTTCTTCACCTTCTATTTTTGGATAGGGAAGAGGGGGGTTTTCATTCCATTCTCTTGATTCTTCCAAACCTTAGTCCTTTCTGTTTCTTGAAGTGGACTAGAACTATTTCACAAGGTCATTGTACACTAGCTCATTGCCTCTCCAACTTTAATGTGCAGATGACTCACTCCGTTCACTTGGTGGAGGGGCAGTATCTTGTTAGAATGCAGATTCTGATAGAATGAATTTGTCAGGGGGATGAGATTCTGCATTTCTAACCAGCTCCTATATGATACCAATGTTGCTGGTTCACAGACCTCACTTTGAGTAGGGACAGCACCCACACTGTGTTCTAAGGACATGAAGGTGGCTACACAGGACCCTGCAGTTGGGCAACACAGCCTCCAGGTGCTTCAAAGGGGATTGCACGAGGTTACAGATGTGTGTGACCAGAGAGCCACTGTCCTGAGGTCAGCAGAAAGTCCCCCTTTTCTTTTCTGTATTCCATGGGTTCTAGCATGCCTGAGACCTGTTAGAGTAGACTGGCTGAAGGTGGGAAGATAGAAATGCACCTCCAAGGATTCTCATCTTGCTTTTCTGCAGGCTTCCCAGCTTCTCTGTGTCAGCCTCTGGCCAACTCTGGGTTCAAAGTCCTGTTTTCTTTCTTGTATCCAACAAGTAATTATGGAGAACCTATCCCGACCCCGTGCACTGTTGTAGACGGGCAATATAATAGTGAGCAAGATGGACAATGTCTCTGTTCCCACAGACCAAGGCTTGACACACGTTTTCTTTAGAAGGTTACATTGTCAGTATCTTAGGCTTTGTGGGTCACATTTGGTCTCTGTCACAACTACTCAACTCTGCCTTTGTCGTGCAAAAGCAGCCACAGACAATAAAACTTCAACATTTTATTGAAACTTTGCTGCAGGATTTGATCCACAGATATAGTTTGCCAACCCCTGCCATTGAGCTTACGTTTTACAGAGGGGAGACCAGGAACAGAAAAACAAATAAGAACATCATAATAGGATGAGAAAATCATGCAGAGAATTAAAATAGGTCATTGTGGCAGAGAGTGATTGTGGTGGTGGGTGCGGGCAGGAGACTACTTTAGACTAAGTGGTTGAGTGGGTGGTAGAAGAAGGCACTTCTAAGGAGGTGGCATGGAAGCTGAGTACTGAGTGGCCAACAGGAGCTGGCCATGATCAAAACCAGAAAGAAGAACATTCCAAACAGCAGGGACCACAAGTGCAAAGGCCCTGTGGCTAAAGCAAGTTTGGAGTGTTTGAGAACCTGAGAGATGGTCACTGTGGCTGAGTCAAGGAGACAATGGAGGTAGGAAGTGACGTAGGAGATACAGGCTGGAGTCCCCTCCTGTGGAGCTTTGTAATCCAGGTGAGCCTTCAAGTGTCCGGAAGCCACACGAGGGTTTACCCAGGTAGGTGATGTCATTTTTATGCCCCCTGCATGGGAAAGCACCGGGGGAACTAACTGCTCCTTACACCCTCTTTCTCCTCCCCATGGAAGGCTCAGGCCCAGCTGTCCCTCACCGATGGAGCACCCTCTTGGACGCAGGCCACAGGGCCAGGAGTCTGTGGGGTGGGGTTTCTGGAGGGTACCCTTGTTTGTCTAGAAATCCTTTCTCCAGCATTTTGCCTATTTCTCTCTCTCCCCTTTAGCTTTGGTGGGCAGGGGCGGGCTACTTGGTAGCAACACCTGGGGGCCCAGTGAGGCAGGAAACAATCTCCTCTGCGCCTCCACTTCCCTGTGCTGAACGCAGGCAGCTCTGGTCCACAGGACGGGTCAATGGTTACAAAAGGGGCACCATCATCAAGTGTTTGTCTGATTGTAACTAATAAAAACCATATCCACAGAGGTAGCATCCTCATTTGATTCCCCCAAAATTCAGTACTGTAGGGACAATTATTATCCCCATTGCATAGATGAGGAAATCAAGGTCGGGAGGCCAGAATTTACCCAGCAAAGAGCCAGTGTTCTAACCATGTGGCTTTGGAGCAGGAAGTTAGCGAGAGAAGGAAAAACAGCTTTGTATCACATGAGAAGGAGCAGACACTAAGAGGCTCTGTGCAGTGGGCTTTCCTGCTCTAAACAGAAGACAGCAAGAGGGGTCCGGTAGAGTGCACCAACCTGGGGGCCGGGAGGCCCAGGGGAGCCTAGCGAGCCTTGCATGCACGGGGACTGCGAGGTCTCCAGTTCCAGGATGAGATTCTTCATGTCTGGGGAGAGAAGCTTCAGTACAAAGCAACACCGAGTTAGAGGTCAGGCGTAGGGGACAGAGGAAGGGTCACCATCCTGGACACAGACCTGCTCTGGGTTCAGGTCTCTAAGCCTGGCAGTTCCCTGCACCCCAATGACTGCCCCAAGAAGATGACATCTTGGGCTACCAGTTTCTGTTCTCTCATCTGCTCTTGAGACAAACCTGGCTTGTGTGAATTACAGACAAATTGCAGCCACTTTGGATAGAGTTAGGAAGCTCATTTCAGGGGCCTCTATCCAATGTCTAGGTTGGCATGTCCAGTGGAAACATAACTAACGTGAGCCACCAATAAGAGCAACATTGTAATTTTAAATTGTCTAGTAGTCACATTTTTACCTTTCAAGAAGGTAAAAAGAAAAAAGTGAAATTAATTTTAATAATGTACTTTATTTAACCCAACAAAACCCAAATATTATCATTTTAACATATATTCAATATTAGAAAGTGAACTAATGAGATAGTTTACATTCTTTTTTCATACTAATTCTTTCAAAATACAGTGTGTATTTTACACTTACAGCACATCTCAACTTGAACTAGCCACATTGCAAGTGCCAGATAGCTACATACGGCTAGTGGCTCCTGAATTGGACAGCACAGGAGAAGCAGCGTTGGGAAAGAGCTGAGAATCCCAAGTTCTCAGAATGCTCTGGCTGCTGCCTTCTAGGCCAGTTTCCCGAATCTTGTTCTTTTCCTCACCTTGTCCTTTCTTTCCAAATTCTGCTCCCTGTCACACCTCAGTGTGGCTACAGGAGAACTATTTCCTGAGTCACCTCATGGAAATGGTCTGTGTTAGACACGGACTGCAGAAGGGAATTTCATAAACACTTGGGAAGAAGAAAAACAGAAGGGGAAATTCCATATTTGAGCAGCTGATGGGAACCCAGGAAGTTACATTATAAATTCACCTCGTGGTTTTTGAGAAGATGAGAAATTTTGCCAAATCCAATTCCTGCCGAGAAGAATCTCCCTCCCTCCATCATTTATTTAAGATATTTGGAGAATGGACACACCCCAGGAACTGCAAAATGTCCATTCCAGGGCTCAACCTCTGGGTGACCGTGGAGGGGTGAGGCTCTCACAAGATTCCGGAGGCAGCTCAGGTGGAGTGGGGCAGGCAGGCGGGGCTGTGTGGTGTGCAAATGAGTAGCCTGCACTTTTTTTTTCCTCTCATAAATCCCAAAGTACTCACCGGACTTCGGCCACCTCTGAAGAATGGTGGTGGGAACAGTGGTGGTGGAGGGGGCGTCAGCAGGCAGCATGCTTTGTGGCCACCACGCTTCTTCTGATCCAGGCCAGGAAGGGCTGTTCAGAGAAAACTGCTGCTCGTTAGCATGTGGTCAGTGCTGGGGCCTCTGTCACACCCACCGTGCCCAGGGAAGACCCATCCTGCCACCCCAGACTTCCAAATCCTAATTTCTAGCCTGTTGGATGTGGGTGGGCCTCCTGTCGGCTACTTGACATAGCAATTATGCCTTTGCCCTTGCCTTTGCTGGATTAAAATGGTTCATAAAGAAGCAGATAACTTGTCTGGACACTGTGACCATTATAAGGTTCATTTCTCCTTCCTCAGATACTGACTTGTTACTTTGTAGATGTAGCAGGAAATGTAAAGTTCAAACAGACTCATCATATGCCCTCAGAAGTTGAGGAGAAGAAAGTGCTTGCTAATGACTTTAATATTGTACTCAGAAGGAAATTGTTCAGACAGGGAGGCAGCCAGGGCCAGTGGCAGCATTACTTACAGGACATCCACACCCATGATTTAAAACACATATATTGACTCTAGACTTTACAAACACATTCACGTGTCACTCATGTCACTGGAGAATTACCGTTTAATGTCTCAGTATATGGGTAGCCTAATCCACAGTGTCGGGAAATGAAGGGAGGGCCCTGAACCTTTGTAGCTTTATTTTTACAAAAAGTCTCATCCATGTTCAATGTTAGTAGATGTTCAGTGTTGAAGTATGCCTTACAAAAAGTACACAGATCAATAAGTTACAGCCCAATAAATCTCCACAAGGTGGACAAATCCTAGAAACCAGCACCCAGGTCAACAAACAGCATCCCCCAGCACCCAGAAGCTCCTTCAAGCTCCAATCTCTGCACCCCTTCCCATCCTGAATTCTAACACCAGAGATTCATTTTGACTAACCTTGCACTTTATGTAAATGGAATCATACAATATGAACTCCTGTCTTTGGTTTCTCTTTCTTAACATGTTGTCTATGGGAATCATCTAGGTTGTTGTTTATCATTGTTACTGCTGAATAGAGTCCCACTGAGCGACTATATCACAACCTGCTCATCCATTCTGCTGAACACTGCTGATGTTCATTGGGTTGATACAACTATACATCCACTAGAATGGCTAAAATGAAAAGGACAGAATATAAGAAATGTGGCAAGGATGTGGAACAACCACAACTATCACCCATTAGCTGGCCAGAATGTAAACCGATGCAACCTCTTTGGAAAATTGCTTGTTATCTTCTATTAAAGCTGAACATAGACATACACTTTAGCCCAGCAATTTCACTCCTAGGTTTTTACCAATAGAAAAGTGGGTGTATCCGGAATCATGATTGCAAGTGATCTTTAAAATTTCAGGTTCTGACTCCAAGCTTGAATCTCCTCCCCAGTATCTCTGAATGATGTGCATTGGCCAGGACCATATATGTGTTCTCTGGTGTTTGCCCTGAGACAGTCCTGATTTGTGTCCCTAACTAATGAATCCAGTGGGAGTTACTGCAAATGTTTCAAGATAAACTTTTTAGTTAAGAGCCAGTTTGAATGGTTACAGTTTTATTTTTATACCAACAAGTAAAAATTTCTCTTGAAATGGCCTTGAAAAAAAAAATGGGTGTGTTTTCGCCAAAATGTATGCACTAAAATGTTCATAGCAGCAATATCCATAATCACCCAAAGCTATGCTTTTTCAGTTCTCAGTTTTGGTGTCACGATGTACCTTCACTTCCACCCCTTCACGATACCTCTGACCTCACAGAACACGCGCGCCAGGTTGACCACCACATGCTCTCAGCCCTGAACCCACTTTTCTGTCTTATCTCCCAGGGGCCAGCATCTGCCAACCATCTCCACTTTGTGCTCCAGGACCTGCCTCAGACACTAGACAAGGGCTGAGTGCTCCCCAGAAGTCGCCAGGTCACGCGGTGTCCACAGGAATGGTGGCTCTGTGCACACACACTTCCTAGCACCCTTGATGATGGAGCATTCCACTGGCCTGTGCCAAAGGCCCTCAGCCCTCTCAGGCCCAATGCGACCTTTTATGGGAAATATTGTGTAAAGACACCTTTATTATCTGGAAATGAAATTCATAAATAATACAGCACACTGACACACGATTTAAAAAATCAATATCGTGCTCTTAATTCTACATAAAAGAAAAATATAAGAAAGTGATTTATGGGCCAGGCGTGGTGGCTCATGCCTGTAATCCCAGTACTTTGGGAGGCCGAGGCGGGCAGATCACGAGGTCAAGAGATGGAGACCATCCTGGTCAACATGGTGAAACCCCATCTCTACTAAAAATACAAAAATTAGCTGAGCATGGTGGCGTGTGCCTGTAGTCCTAGCTACTCAGGAGGCTGAGGCAGGAGAATTGCTTGAACCTGGGAGGTGGAGGTTGCAGTGAGCTGAGACTACTGCAACCTGGCAACAGAGCGAGACTCCATCTCAAAAAATAAAAGAGAAAAAGAAAGAAAGAAAAAAGTGACTTATGATATAAAAGTAAACGTTTTGATTATAAGTGGTCAGACACAATATTAGAATACATAATGCTGTAGTTTGATGCTTGCACTTATGTGAAATCACAGTGAATGCAACAGTTCAAATACAGATTATGGTATTGGCAACTCCTATGCTACAAGGAATGTATCCACCATGTGATGTGATTTTCTGAAATAATAAATAACACTGGGTAAAATTCCCAACTAGACAAAGCACAACCATTACTCTGTAATTGTAGTCTTAGAAAACTCAATTTATTATTACAACAGTGCTTTAAAAATCCTGTGTAAAAGAGAATTCAGTTATAGAATCAGGTAATTATATATAGGTATGAATGTTCCTTGGGACATTTCAAAGTCATGTAGGATGTGGGACAATTCTGTCTCACCCTTTGCAAGATAGCTCTCACTCCTGACCCAGCTCAACAAACACAGTGGTGCTACCCATCCCGGCCTTTGAAACAACTAAAAATACCTTGAAAATTTCCAAAACGGCCCCAGTGAAAACTGTTGGCCTATCTAATGCTTGGTGCTTAGCTTGGTCACAAAAAGTTCCATAGAACCCAACACCCAACACCAAAGCAGCATCCATTCTAGGTCATACAAGTTAACGAGGGACTGAAGGAATTCAGAAAAACAGGAACAACAGGTGGCCACCAGCTGGGATGGACCTGGCCATCTTTTGGGAAAGATGGAACTCGTGCTAATTCTGGAAGAGCAAGGAGAATTCAGACAGGAAGTCTTCCAGACCACAAAAATATCTGGGGAAGTCACGGGTACTTGAGTGAGGCCTTGAAGGGCCAGCTGGGGAGGTGGATGATGGAAGGAGGGGAGGCTCCCCGGGGAGCGGGAGGAATGGCAGGAGAGAGACCGTGTTCCATTCAGGGCTACTTGGATTGTGAGAAGCAGAGCTTCACTCACATGGGCTCTGGGGAAAAAGGAGATTTATCGTAAAGTTAACAACTGTCAGAAAGAGCTGGAGCCAGTGAGTCAATGGAGCATGACACTGTCCTGGTATTTCTCTTACCTTCCTCCATCCCCTGCCCCCCATCTCCCTTTTTATGCTTCTTTCTGCGCATCTGATCCATTCCATCTTCTCTGGCGTCTTCACGCCCATCTTCCCATGACGGCTGACCCAGTCTTGCCTCACCTCTTTTACCTCCCCCATCTGTTTTGTCTGGAACATCCCCTTGTGGGTCTTAGTTCAAACATCCACCACAGGGAATCTGTTTGCCCAGCCAGGTGACAGGTCATGGGGGGAGCTGAGCAGAGCCTGCCCTGGACCGGGCTCAGATCCAGTCGTTAGCAGGATCTCAGGGTCTGTCACCAGCTCAACAGAGGCTATGGGAGGAGTTTCTCCTGAAGAAGGCAAGGCAGACAGGCGCTCCAAAATATGTCAAACAGGCCAGGCGTAGTGGCTCACGCCTGTAATCCCAACACTTTGGGAGGCTGAGGTGGGCAGATCACTTAAGGTCAGGAGTTCAAGAACAGCCTGACCAAATGGTGAAACCCCATCTCTACTGAAAATACAAAAATTTGCTGGGCATGGTGGCACACGCTTGTAATCCCAGCTACTCGGGAGGCTGAGGCAGGAGAATCGCTTGAACTTGGGAGGCAGAGGTTGCAGTGAGCTGAGATTGTGCTATTGCACTCCAGCCCAGGCAAGAGTGAAACTCCATCTCAAACAAACAAACAAACAAACAAACAAACAAAAAACGTTAAACACAGCACAGAGGCAAGACACTTTAAGGTGGTCGCCTAATGAAGAGGAGGAACAGTGGGTGTTGGGGTCAGGATGCAGGGAAAGCTGGAAAGTTAATTTGGGGCTAGATTATGCCGTTTTGGATACCCCACAAAGGGGTTTAATTTTTTTTTTTTTTTTTTGAGACCGAGTCTTGCTCTATCGCCCAGGCTGGAGTGCAGTGGTGCGATCTCGGCTCATTGCAAACTCAGCCTCCTGGGTTTATGCCATTCTCCTGCCTCAGCCTCCTGAGTGGCTGGGACTACAGGCGCCCGCCGCCGCACCCGGCTAATTTTACGTATTTTTAGTAGAGACAGGGTTTCCCCGTGTTAGCCAGGATGGTCTCCATCTCCCGACGTCGTGATCCGCCCGCCTCAGCCTCCCAAAGTGCTGGGATTACAGACGTGAGCCACCGCACCCGGCTGGGTTTAAGCTTTAATCGGAAAGTCGTAGGAAGCCACGGCAGGTGCAGGGTAAAGGAGTAACAGGATCGAAATGGTGCTGGAGAACACTGTGTGCAGGGAAGGTGCAGGTGTGTGGAGGACAGTCTTGGAGAATGGGAGCATACAGCAGGGCACGGGAAAGGAAGGGAGGGACTGATGCAGAGAAACTGGGGACCAACGTGTTGCAGGAGGGAAAGAGCAGGGAGAATCAAGGGTGGTTTTGAAGTTGCAGGGGACCCGGGGCAACAATGGTCAGAGTTTGAGAAAGAAAAGTCACAGCAGGCACTAGTTTACGAGTATTAGACATTTATTCATTTGAGCACACTCTGCCAGGCACTGGGCCAGGCCTTGTGGGACGCAGAAAGTACC